CCAGCCCAAGTTGTCTGTTATTGCTTGGAGGTACACATTTGAGCAGAGGGACCAGAGGGCAGGTGAATCTGCTAAGGATTTTATTGCAGCCTTAAGGTGAGCAGCCAGACCTTGTGAGTTCAAGGATCTGGAAGAGAGGCTGCGAGATCTCTTTGTATGTGGTTTAAGGAACAGAGACTTACAGCAGAAGATTTTTTGCAAAAGAAGATGTCTCTTTCCAAGATGCTCTACGAGAGGTGAAAGCTGAGGAAGCAGCAGGCAGGGCTGTGAAGACCTTATGGCCCACCAGGAGCCCTCCAGAGGCATCCATCAAGAGGACGCTTGAGAAGGATCGGAAGTAGATCCTGAAGAAGAGGTGGATAGGCTTCACCAGCCAGCTGAAAGGAGGCAGAAGGAACGTCCGGACAAGGCCCCAGCAGCTCTTCAATGCTTCAGGTATGGAAGACGCCACAAGCAAGCTGACTGCAGGTTCCGCTCCGCCATTTGCAAAGCGTGTGGCAGGCAAGGCCACATTGCATCCACCTGTTTGGGTCACCAGAAGTCCAACTTCGCGAAGAATTGCATCTGAAAGGTACCAGGGTCCCCAACCAACATAGGGTGGGTTTCTGTGCATCGCGCAGGAGTATTTTGAAGACCGGCACACATAAACCCTTAAAGAAGAAACTGTCCATTAACATAAGGTTGCAAGGGGTTCCTTTATCCATGGAATTGGACACTGGGTCTGCTCTCTCCATTATTTCTATTAACACATTCAAAAGGATATGCAACAGCAGTGGCCTTCGAGTTAAACTCAGGCCATCCTATCTAATACTTACAGATTTTCAGAATTCTATGGTGTGTGTTAAGGGGGAAGCCACCCTTAGAATACAGCATAAGGATTTTGAAGGTCCCCTAGATGTGGTGGTTGTTGGGGGTGAATGCACGAGTCTTATTGGACTCAATTGGTTCGAGGCTCTGGGAATCCAGGTAACTGGGCTACACCATTTGCAAACATTGAGTCTGGCAGAAGTCTGCAAGGAATTTGCAGATGTGTTCAGTTAGAGCTAGGATCATACAAGGGGCCTCCAATTTCACTACGGTTAGACCCAACCATCACACCCATCAGGGTTAAGCCTAGGAGGGTACCTTTTGCCCTCAAGGGCAAGATGGATGCTGAGCTGGACAAATTGCTCCAGCAGGGCATTCTAGAACCTGTGGACTCAAGTCCATGGGAAACCCCCATAGCAACGCCTCTAAAGGCTAATGGGGACATAAGTATATGTGCAGACTGCAAGTGCACACTGAATAAGGCACTGCAACAGCACACTTATCCAGTACCTGTAGTAAGTCACATTCTGGCCTCCCTCAAGGGGGGGCGCATTTTTGCGAAGCTGTTGATGTGGCAGTTGCAGAGGCCCAGGGTATTGTAACTCACCGGGGGGGCCTTTAAGGTCAAGAGACTGTAGCCCCTGGTATATTCCAAAATGTCATGGAGAGCACATTTTGGGATATTCCTGGGGTCTGTCCCTATTTTGATGATGTCCTCATTGCTGGGGAGTCATCTCAAAATTTGGCAGAGAGATTAAGGGCTGTCTTGCTTCGTTTTCGAAAAGCAGGCCTTAAACTAAAGAAGGATAAATATAAGATAGGAGTCAATTCTACTGACTTCTTAGGATTCAGGATAAATGCTCATGGCATTCACCCTGCTGAAACTAAATTGCAAGCTATTCAGCAGGCCCCAAGCCCTAAATCTAAGAAAGAGCTGCAAGCCTTTTTGGGGCTATTAAATTTTTACCATGCATTTCTCCCACATAAGGTCAACAGCAAGGGGGAGGGTTGCCATGGAGGTGACTCCTGACTCTGACACCTTGGGCACGTGCTTGGGGGCTACAGAATACTGGGGCACTTCCGCTACCCAGCACTCTCCATCTGCTGGCCTGGGGTTCGAGGGACAGTGGTCCCAAGAAGGTTCCATTGTGGACCCGGGGAATGCCACCTCTCCTAGGTATGCTGGCTTGGACTTAGCAGATGGGCGGGTTAACCAGGTATTTGGGGCAGCTAAGTCCTGGCCTGCCTAGCCTGGTAGGTGAGCAGGTAGGCCAGGCAACCGCACCAGGGTCACCTGGAAATTTAGGGCAGCAACGTCCTGGCCTACCTAGCCTGGTAGGCGAGCAGGTGGGCCAGGCAATCTATCCCGGCCTTAGAAGGTCGCAGTGGGCCAAGTGCCCACCCAAACATCTCAGAGAATTTGTGAAGTTGCTGTCAAGTCAAAAGGGTCCTTTTTCATGAGGCCCCTGAATAATGGGGGTACTCGTAATAGCTTATTTTGTAGTATTTTTGATTTCGGCTACATTCATTGTATTACTAAAATTGAAGGGGGTTGCCTGAGGGCAGACTTGAGTATTCCACACTCCTTGCATTTGATTGCTGAAACTGTATGACACTCTTCTCCTTGCATGGCGCACATGTGTGCGCGCAAGGTATGTTTCATCTAGGGGGGAGGGGTGTTGTGTCCTGAGCCTGCAAAGCAGGCTCGGGACGTTGCATTCGTCCCGGGCATTCCAAAAGCTGCCTGGAACCAGACAGAGCGGTGCCAGCCTTGTGCGCATGCGCAGGGTGTGAATATGCTCTGTTACGTTGTTTGCTATTGTCCGGGTTCCTGGACACATAAAGAGGCCTGTATGCCTTGGTCGTTGTTGGGTGTTGTTGTTAGAAGAATAAAGAGCTGTTCATCATTCGCCCGCGAACAAAGGACTTAACACCTCCTATGCTATGTAGCATATCAGCCATTGCTGATCTCAAGGATGAGGAGGAGAGTTAGGGATTGGGCTAGCAAACTGTCCTTGTAAAAATTATAACCACTATAGAAACATATATATCTCCATGATATATAATGGAGAAAAAGAATGAGGCAGCATATACTGCTCTGGTTGTTTGAACCAGTAAGTGAAAAACTTTGTTAAGGCAATAGATAGATCCTTCATAAATACTATCTTTTTAGGACCTTATTTATGGAACTCTACTGTTTCCTCTTATCACCAATTCTTTTTTAAATATAGAAAATTGGGGGGGGGGAAGCCACACAATCAGTATTTACTTTTACTTGCAATTATATTGAAGAAATAAGAGTATGAGTAGAGGAAAATAAAAGAACACTAGATAACTACATTACTAGTTACACAGAAAGAAATACAGAAAGACAATTATAGTACTAATCTATTCATAGATATTAAAGCATGAAAGCAAGCAGTTAAATGAAAAGGGTTAGGAATTAGAGAATAAGAAATTAAACAACACATTGATTTACAATAGTGAGTTTAGAAACAAAAAACAAAGTTAGTAGGCATGGATTTATTTTAAACTACTAGTCTTTAACAGATTTATTTTTTTCAACAAAGCATTTCTTAAGTACTAAGCATTCAGTCTTACAATTTATGGATATATAATTAGTGGAAATGTTCTCTCAAACTGCAGGTAATGGGACTTCCATGAACAGCATAAGTAAGATTTTACTGTACAAAATAATAATAATATCCTAGCAAACAATGTGCAAACACTATGCCAGGTTAAGAAACATTACACTCAACTATCTATTTAATTTGGTCTTAATAGAATATCAAAGCCACTTATTTGCATTTGCTAATGTGATTAGGTTTTTATTTTCTGCTGCATATGTGATATCAAAAATATTTTATTGAGGTCTTTTCATGGAATGCTTATCTGCTATTGCAGCAGCAGAGCCGGAGACAGAGGGTCAGTGGAGGGGGGAGGGAGAGGGCTCTGAGTCCATGGATCACTGCCGTGAAGCGGCCGCGGGGCAGGTGGCGTGCCCCCCGGCTTACTTGTTCCAGGCAGCAGTCTCGGCTGGGGCATCGCTTCCTGGGCCATCCCCAGGCCGCCAAGCCAGCCACATGTCAGGCCGGGCCGGGCGGCAGTCATGGCTGGGGCGGGGGCATCACTCTCCAGAAAGTCGAGCTGGCCACATGTCTCCCCAGGTCGGGCTGGGCGGCAGTCATGTTGGGCCGGCGGCTGGCAGGGGCATCGCTTCCTGGGAAGCCGAGCCTGCCACGTGTCTCTCCAGCTGAGTGAGGCTGGAGAGGCAGCAGCAACTGGGCAGCGGCGCCCCTTCGCCATCCTCCCGCTGTTGCCTGGCTGCCGCAGGGTTCTCCACCACCCGGCTCCACTTTGGCCCTATCAGTGCCTCCTTCCTCGGCCATTTTTGGGGAGCCGCAGCTGCCGCCCTCGGTGCTACAGGAGAAAGAGACCTTGGGCTGCAAGGGCGGCGGGGCTGGCAGCGGTCAGGACCCCCCTCATCCCTCTGGTGGCAGTTCTCGTTGCCGGCGCAGCCACCCATGTGCACCCTTCCTTGGCGCCCTCCTCTTGCGATGGCTAAGTGGCTGTGGGCAGCAGCCAGGCCAAGTGCGGCAGTGGGGAGCCCGACGATGCTGTAGTGGCTGCCGCCAGAGCCTCTGCCTCCCGTCCTGCTCCCGGAGCCGCTGCTTCCCGTCCTGCTCTCCCTCCCCCCCCATTCGGCTGTTACCGGAGCTGCTGCCTCCCCACCTGATGATGCTGTAGTGGCCGCCGCTGGAGCCGCTGCCTCCAGTCCTGTTCCCGGAGCCGCTGCTTCCCGTCCTGCTCTCCCTCCCCGCCCATTCAGCTGAGGACGCGGCAGCCGGGGCGGGGGCGGCGGAGACCCCCAACGATGCTGCAGTCGGTGTTACCGGAGCTGCTGCCTCCCAACCTGCTCCCCTTCCCCGTCTGTTTGGTTGAGGATGCGGCGGCCAGGCCAGTGGTGGCGGCTGGGCTGGGGGTGGCGGGGACCCCCGACGATGCTGCTGTCGCCACCGCGACATGTCATTTTCTCAGTCCACCTCACCCCATCCCATGCCGCCCCACTGAGATTTTATGGGAAAATCAGGAAGCAGGAACATTCTGTATACTCCTTTGAGTCACACAAGTAAAGATGGGATTTATACAAATAAGTATTTTAAACTGATACTCTTTATATATATCCATCTTACCTCCATTCATAATTATTACTGCTTCTTCTGTTATTTGACTTCCAGATCCAACTGATGTTTGTGCATAAAAATAGAACTTGTATCGTGTGCTGTAATCCAGGTTGCTTAAAATCAAGTTGGTCTCATTTGCAGGAATATTGATCTCTTCCAAGTGACCTAATTCATGAGTACTATTAACTGTTGTTATACAGAATACAAAATATAATTAATTTAGAAACCTCTTTTGTATTTAACTACTGAAGTCAAGCATTTACACAACATGCTGAATCCTGCTATTAACATGCTGCATTAGCATTATTCAGATAGTATAAACATTTGAATGAATGTGTGATAAAGGCAGAATAATCCTGCTTCTAAAGTAGAACAAATTTTGTTTGTGAAGTGGTTCTGTAACTTCCTGTATGTATAGATTTCAAAGGCCTGCAAAGTTGTAATTTTGAAAGTAATGTGTACAACTTACATGTTCGCTTAATTAGTTTCCTAACATCTATTTACACAATGCAGGTCAGCAGCACCAAATATTAATGCTCACTAAGCAAACTTTGTGCTGTTTGCATCTTCTGCACCTTTTATCCCCAAGGCATAATGCATACTTTTCTCTGAGGCAGAGAAAGGTCATTATATAGTTTCTACAAGGAAATATTGTGCTACCCCCTTTCCATAAAAATTTAACACTGTTCACTTCTAATTCTTAAAAATGGATTCCTATGGGAAAGTATTAACCAATCAATCTAAAAAGATACTCTTAATTATTCAGTAAAGATACACTTTGTGGATTCATTTTTTGTTAAAGTTTTACTTACTTGGTTGAAACTTTAATGTGTATCCCACCAGAACACCATTTGGATGAGAAGGTGGGCCCCATTCCAAAGTAAGAGAGTCCAGATTTTGATTAGTAATCTTCAAAAAAGAGGGTGCACTGGGAACTTTAAAACACACACACGCACACACACACACACATGCCCCACAATATAAAGTTAATTTTAATAAAACTCAAATATTATATAAAATATTTTAAATGTTCCTTTTAAATTATCATCACATTTTATTAAATACAATACCAAGATCACATGTGGATTTTCTAAAATTCAGATGCAGTTTTTGGAACTCTTTGGAAAGTTACTCATCATTGCTGAAATGTTCCTGAATTCTGCAGATATGTAGTTATGCTGTCAAAATCAACTAATAATGCTTTATTCTCCTTATATGACTAACTTTACTGTTAATTTCTCTTCATATTTACTATTGATTTCTCTCTTTATATTTCCATTCCTTAGTACCCCAGATATTATATGTGACAGACATGAATATACTCTTTGTCTTATATGCCTTAGAGCTATTCATATGCTACCTCAGTACAACTTTCATAATGTAGCCCTTACCTATAAAAGCTTACATCACTTTCCTATAGATTAATTTTATCCATCTTTGCTCATGTTTCATTGTCTTTCAAATAAATATATTAAAAATCAAAAACAGATTTATTACTTTTAATAATCATTTAATAATAATGAAAATGGCCATGTAATACTTTACTCATAATGTGAAACATAAATATCTGAGTTATTCAATTACATACCTCCTTCTGGAGTCTTAAATGTTTCATCTGGGCTTGGTGGTCCTTCTCCTTTCCCATTAAACACTCTTACATTCAGTTTATAAGAACTAAAAGGCTCTAATCCCGGTACCATTCCATGTGTTCTATTTCCACTGAAAGTCAACATCCTTTTTTCCACATGCCGCTTAATTTTTCCAGATAAATGTTTGACTTTCCAATAGTAAATCTAAATATATATGCAAGAATATTTTAAAGTTTAATTTATGCTGTTCTAAGATTGCATTATATTATACAACCCAAATATATTTTGAGACAAGCAATTTAGCGTGCTACATCCACATCCACAATAATATTTTTTGAAATTAAAAATTTAAAATAATTTAGTTAAAGGAAATCCATAGATTTCTTTCCTAGTCATCACTATCCAATTGAGTGACCTTAAATTATCAGTGCAACATATTTAATATATTAGTATATTAGACTACTGTAGTATTTGAAGCAGATAAACTGCCTTCAAATCTGTACTCATATATCAGCTGACTCTGATTTAGATAGTTCTTAGCACAGTCTATTTCATAAGGTTCTGAATAATACATTAGAGAGAGAATATTATAGGACTCCTTAGGAAATGGCTAGCATAATTTAAATACATACACATGATATAAGTTTTACTGATTTTGTATGCACATTCAACGAAGTCTAAATACTGGTATGACATAATATAGAATTTATGTTACACATGTTACAAGGAATACTTAAGTGTAAATAATAACAGTGGTTAGACTAAAAACTGTCTCTGACAAGCATCAACTAATAGCCATTCTCATAGACCAAAAAACACAAAATAACAAAAGCAGTTACTCTGGTCTAGCATCTCAACAATTAAAATAAGATAAGGAAACATCACACTCAAATACATCTGTGGATATTTTATACTAAATGTTGTTTAAGAAATGTCTATGGTTAACTTACTTTGTATCCCTGAAGATGACCCCGGATAAACTTTAATGGAACTGGTTCCCACTGCACCTTTGCTAACGTACTGTTTACAATTTGTACCTGTAAATTGCCTGGAGCAATCATTGGCACTGACAAGGGACAAATGCAACAAATCCAAAATTAGAACCATTTGCATGTGTTTATAATGTTCTTTGAATTTCCTAAATGTAGAAAATTAATTCTGAATTCTATATTTGTACCACAATATTATTACTACTCAGAAAAGTCAGCTAAACCAAAAATTATAATAAAAACAGAATCAAAGTAAGAAACTTACAGTCTTCTCCAGAATGTCCAATTATTATTAAAGGGTCAGGTGCAGGTCCTAAGTCATTTAATGCTTGTACTTTTATCTCATATGGAACAAAAGTTGGTGTATCAGCTACAATATATTTAGATACATTTGCAACTGTAACAGATGTCCATTCATCTTGACCATCATTCTGTTGCCAACTGACTTTGTACTGAAGACCTGGACCATTGGACTGAAAATCCGTTAAAGGCTAAAATGAAAAATAACAAAGGTATGATTTTTAATTATTCATAAGAGAATGAAGATAATATAAAGTTAATAGTTTTGTTCCAACGATTGCTAGAAAATGGTGATTTAATCAGAAATTGCTTTCATATTCATGCATGGCATATAGTTTAAGAAATCTTACTAATTTAATGACTGTTTACCTAGCTCTTCAGTTTAAAATAAATCTTTTTTTTTTTATTAAAGAGTTTTATAAATTTTACAGAAAATAAAAGACAATACAAAAACAAAAAACAACATATACAAATAAAAAACAAACATTACCCAACAAAACCCCCCTTCCCCCACCCCTACCCAACCCCCCCTCCCCCCCAGGGCTTCCCAGAGCAGAATATAGGCTTAATTAAAAAAAAGTTAAAAAAATTTATATTTATAAAAAAAAGAATATAAAATAGAATATATATATATATATATAAAGTTAAAAATTATGAAAAAACTATATAGTATTTTTTTATATCAAATTTAAATTGTATGAATTTTATCCATTTATCCCAAACAGCAAGAAATTTCTCTTGCGTTTGTCCCTTTAAGAAAGCCGAAATCTTTGCCATTTCCGCCAAATGAGACACTTTAAGAAACCATTCCTGCAATGTAGGCAAAGATTCCTTCTTCCAATATTGTCCTACTAACAGCCTCGCAGCTGTAATCAAATTTAACATCAATATAACCTCCTTTGTATCACAATCAATAACTATACCTAACAAAAATAATTGTGGAGTAAATTTTACCCTCCTTTTAAAAATTCTCTGGATATTCCAAGTTTAAAATAAATCTTAAGTGGTGTTCACAGGGGGCAACAGTAGGGAAAAAGTCCTCTGGCATCAGTCTAAAAAAACATGCTATTAAAAGAAATGGCACTGGAAAGGACTAAAAAGAGGGGAGGAGAAATGACAAAATAAAAAATCATTTCCTTCTATAATCTTGTACTTCATGGGTGGCATAATGAAAATAAAAGTATCCTAACAGAACAATCTATTTCTGATATAGTTGCATTGCCGAATGACAAGGAATCATAAATTGAAGAGCTATGGACTGCATATATTGCTTAAATATATGCATGTAAGTTGTAACTTACTCATGGGTACTAACAATAAAGTTGGTCCTTTGTTTTAGCATTATCACTAGAAATTAGTATTTCAAGTCCCATATTTGGTCCTAGATATATACTATATTGCTTTATAGCATATTATACAGCAGAGTCATCAGATAATTCAAGTACCACAGTTTGAGTGATATTAATGGCATTTCAGTGGGTTTTTTATACAACAAGTCAATCTTTAAAAATGTGTTGCTGTTTTTGTAAGCTTTTTGCCATACATTTGGGAAAAGTGAATCCTAGTCATACTGCCTTCAGTATTTTATGTTTTCAAAAAGCTTACCTTCCAAGTGATCACCAAATTATTAGGTTCTGTTCCAATCCCTTGAACGTTAATAGGATTGTCATCTGGCTCTAAAAATTTAAATTTTTATATTTAAGTAAAATTTAGACCACAGTAGTTGAATGTTATTTATATATTAAGCAGATATATATTTACTTGCAGGTTTTGTAAAGTACTTTTCAGAAGCTTCACTTGGTTGGCTCCTTCCAATTTCATTGACAGCTATTACACGAAATGAATAATTCACATATGGTGATAACCTTAATTTTACAGTTGTGAACACATTAGGGACTTCCATTTGGTAATTCCATATTCCTGGCTCATGCAAAGCATCTTCATATTCAATAATAAACCCTGTAAATAAAGTTAAAGTAAATTTTCCTTTATAAATCCTTATTTTCTTCTCATATGACTAGCCAAATACACATTTTTGAGAGGAGAGTGTGTTATTATACCAAGAGTGTTGTATATGCTTGAAAATGGAAGATTCTGAAGGTCAAATTTTACTTGAAAGCAATCAAACTTTGCAGGACTGGACATGAATTATAATATAAATATGGCACAATATTTCTGAACAACATTAAGTGAAAAACTGGATCAAAGAAGTAACATCTCTTGTATTTTGATACAGAAAAATAGAGGATACTGCTACTGAATAGATAATTTATATTAGTAAGTAGTTTAAATAAATAGGTTGTTTACATTGCTATTTTGCACTGCAGTTCAGTGCTTATACAGAGGCACTTTTCAGAAGCCTATTTTAACAGTAGTTTAAATGAAAACGATCAAACAAATACTGTTTATTGCAAACAACAGAATGCTAAATGACATTCCAAATAAACAGAACAATCATACTTGTAATGGGGCTATTATTTTCATTGCCCGGTATCCAAGTGAGTTGAGCACTTCTTTCTAAATGATCTGTTAATTCCAAATCGTAAGGTGGATCAGGATGATCTGAAAAGGGAAGTAAAAAACTGTTACATTCTAGGAAAAATTCTGAACAAGCTTGTTTACCATATGATTGTGTGACCACTAGTATACAATGAAAATGGTACAACTGACTTTGCTGGGAAACAATGCAGAACAAAGGCAGATTATATAAGTTCTAATAACAACATTTGTTTTGCATTACATAGTAACAATAAATGAAAACTTTTCTCATGGTTCACCAGCAGTTTCAGTTTATGAGATGTAGTAATGATTATAGCACTACTTTATGTAAAACAAACATTTCTTTATACAAAAAGAAAATAAAAATACATTCAATAACTAAAAAAAAACTGTTTCAGAATTACATCATTATCAGACTAGACCCTCTATATTGGCATTTAATCTTATATAGGCTCATACAGACTTGATGTTTTTAACTTACTGAGAAAGAGGTTTCTTTTTTTCTACCTCTTTCAGAATCAGAAACTGATTTTTGCTTAAAGTTTGAAAGAGCCGGGGAAGTCCAATACAACATAAACATGATGTTTTCTCACAGAAGAAATAGGTTGAAGGCTGCATCAGCACTGCCAATGTGAGTCTGTGAGTCTTTAAGATCCAACAGAAAAGGGGAAATATGATTTACATTCTTTACCCTAACTGATTCTGATAAGTAATGACAACCTATCATAGAATTCAGGGCCAGGAAAGGTAATAAGAGTTTTTAAAGTCATGCATTCCTTGTTAGATTTTTAAATATGCATAATATATATATGAATATAAATATGTATAAGGTAGCAAACAAAATTGAAAAGAAAGGTAGCAAACAAAATTGAAAAGAAAATAAAGGATAGATGTTCCAGTTACTGGAAATGTTATTTAAGTATAAAAGTGGTTGAATAAGAATGTCTTAGAAATTTAGAAGGAAGATGCTACCACTCATAACTACCTTTCAAACACAGGAAACTAAAGATTAATTAATTAAATAATGCTTTAAAAGATAGATTCCTTAAATTTAAGTTCAACCCCTGATGTCTTTATAAAAATGTCTACTCTATTATTATGGAGAATATATCAGCAACCCATTAGGTGAAAAATTGTTTTCTCATCATATCCCACAACCAAACTGACATATGGCACCTATCACAAAAAATTACCCAAAGCTCATTCTAAACTGGTAAGATTTTGCTCAAAAAGTATGTGTCTGCGATTAAAATGCTTAATAAATTAAAATAAAATGTTTGTTTCTTAATTAGGGGGAAATAATTGCAACAAAAATATATTAAATGTACAAATCTTAAAGAATAAAGAGGGCAATGAGGAGTCCAGGTTTGGCATAACTTAGAACATTTAATATAGCGCCATATGTAGACTTAATTTTGGGCAGAAACAATATGCATTTTTAAAATCTTACATTCAGAAGCAATAAACTACTAACAGCCCATAAAAAGGTCTATATATATGCTGAAGATTATGTTACTGAGAAATTAGAAAGTATTTTTAAAAATATTAAACTATGTTTAACAAATGATAAAAAGCAGCTGAATGTTACACGAGTTTTAATAACTCATTCAGGCAATTATTTGAGAAATTTATACTGAAGACAAGTTTGATTTAATTATAATAATGAAACAGTTTAGCATTTCAATCATAAATAAAAATAGTAACACAATTCTCATCAGATTTAACATAAATATACAACCAATCAAAAATAAAAAGAGAAAGTTTCAATTTGAAAGAAGCAGAAAGTTTAGGAAGGTTTGGTATATAATGCAAGCAAGACTTATTAGTTTACCGTAAACAATAGGTGGAACTGTTGGAGGAGCTGGAAAAAAGGATATTAATATAAACTATAAAACTTTTGTTAGTGGTCAGAATAAAGCAACACTGATCGTATTTATTACTAACATGACTTTCTATTGTAATAAAATGTAATTATTTTATTTACAAAAATGTAAGTGCCTAATATGCATTGCGTGAAAACAACAAAAACCTCTTTTATCTGAGTCCTGAACAGCCCTGCAGACAATTGATAAAATTATAGACTCATCATATTGAAAGGGATCATTTAGGCCATGCAGGCCACTTGCTTGCACAATGCAGGAACTTTAAGCATTCCAGACAGAAATTTGTCTAGCATCCATCTAAATACTTGCAAAGAAGAAGAACCCACATCTTTGGGTCCCAGAATTGAAATTTCACTGTTAAGAGGTTTTATTCCGCCATTAGCATTACTGGAATTAGCTTTTTTACTATGTAAATCTTCAATTTAAATAGTTCCAAATTTGTTCCAAAATAAGCGAGAACAAGTGTTTTTGTGTGCCACATAGCTGAGAAGCGCTATCATTCCACTTACTTACTATCAACTTCTGAAATAAACCTGGAGGAAGCCATCTTTTTCGTTCTAAGTTGTCACATACATGGGGAAAGAGGGGGGAAGTAGTATTGCTATTTGTATGCTAGATAAAACACCGAGTAGTCCCATGGGAACCAAGGTCATTCCCACAAGTGCTGGAAGGAGGAGCGAAGACAATTTGAGAAGCCCGCCAACTGCTTTTATTGGGCAGTGTGATTTATAACAGGGTTTTTCTACCAGTGGTACGGGTACCACCTGTGGTACATTGGCACCTGGCAGGTGGTACACGACCATCTTAGAAAAATGGTAGCAGGAGAGGGGAATGGGCTGAACCAGTGGTAGCACTGCACAAGCCTGAGCGAGAGATGGCTGGAGCTGTAGGGCTGTCAGGGCTCAGGGGAAGCGCCAGGATCAGTGCCGCTTTCCAGCTAGTCAGCGCTTCTTTGGGGCTGTCAGGGCTCAGTGGAAGTGCCAGCTGGAGCTTGACACTGATCCTGGTGCTTCTGCTGAGCCCTGAAGAAGGACCAATCAGCTGGAAAGCAGCACTGATCCTGGCACTTCTGCTGAGCCCAGAAGAAGCACCGATCAGCTGGAATGTTGCAGCATCTCCAGGGTCTTGTGATTTACATTCAGATGCTTGGCAACTGATTCATATTTATGACAGTCACAGTGTCCCAGGGTCATGTGAAGTGACCAAAACCTGCTGCAACCACCCAGCAGTTGGGAGGAATAAAAACCAAACACCCCCCATCCTACCTTGGACAGGAGGAAGAGTGCCATCGGGTGGGCAGGCAGGTGTCTTGCTCGGCTGTGGCTTGGGGGGGGGCACTTTTTTCAGTGCATTGTAACTTTGAACAGTCACTAAGCAAACTGTTGTAAGTCGAGGACTACCTGTACTTTATCACTTTTTTCCTTGGTCATCAAGTTTTTGACACCTTGCTAGGCGACTGGTGGTACTTGGATATTGCCATATCCTAAAAGTGGTACTACGGGTGAAAAGGTTGAAAAGCCCTGATTTATAACATCATAGAGGGGAGGGAAGTGTTACTTTTAGTTACTTTAATCTCTAGGGAAATTTCAGGGTTGGTTTCACTTTTGACCATGCCAATAAACATGTGCTTTGAGGAAACTTCAAGCCTCAGAGTTCTACTTTATGTGGTCTCATTAGTTGGAACCTTGACACTTACCCTATCAGTTTTTCTCAAAACCAAAGATTCCAGTTTAGCCAATTTCTCTTTACAGGATAACCTCTAATAATTTTCATTGCCTGCTCTAATCCTTTTCCTATTTCTCTGACTCCTGCTTCGTTTGCTGACCAGAACTCAAGAAATTACTTTAAATGGTGTAACTAAAATAAAATAAAATAAAGTAACTATTTTCTATAATTTGGAAATTAGGTTTTTGTTAATGATCCCTAATGCTGCATCTGTGAATATGTATATATGTATATTTGCAGCCAAGATTTACGGATGACTTATATTGTTTACATTTTATTACATCAATATCATCATAAAACCATGAATCCCCCATCTGATTTGTCTTACTTAAGTGAATAATCTTTTTCACTTCACAGCTAAATTTCATTCTGTAATTTTCATCTTATTTCTCTAATCTCTGAAGATTTTTTTAAATTATTTCCACCCTCCAGATTGCCTATCTCACTTAGTTTTATATCACTTGCAATTTGATAAGCATTGCCTTAACTTCAACCAGTTATTAATGAAAATATTGGCAAATATGGCAAATTTTGAATATTTTAATCTCCTTCAGGATAATCCAACAACTAACAAAATATTGAACCATAACAAGTATTTCTTTAGAGCAGTGATGGCGAACCTTTTAGAGGCCGAGTGCCCCACCCCCCCACTCTGTCCCCCACCTCTCTCACTCTGTCCCCACGGCCTGCGCCCACCCACAGGGCCACCCACCACCTCCACAGCCTGCCGCAGATCACTCAGGCGGCCCAGCAGCGCCATGGCAGCCCTCCATCCCGCAGCATCAACTGTGTGCAACAGGGCGTGATGGCGGAGTCTTATCCCTGCTGCCCAGCTTCCATGTCCTTGGCTGTTCTTTTCTGCACAGGCCGTGCTCGGGGCGACTCTCTGGGGAGGCTGCTAGTGAGGAGAGGGGAGAGCTGGGGCTGGAGCAACGGCGCAGGTGCCCACAGACAGGGCTCTGAGTGCTGCCTGTGGCACACATGCCATAGGTTCGCCATCACTGCTTTAAGCATACTGATATTTTGTTTCTCTCATTTTAATAATAGTATGTGCACCTCCAAGCTTTCTTGAAATCTATCAGATAAGGCAATTAGGTCTTTGTGTGTTACTTCCCTGCTTATGAAAAACCGTATTTTTCCATAAAACCTTGAGCTGCTATGTAGGAGAAAATGCTTTCTAATTGGATATGGAGTCTTAAAACAAAATTAATTTTAATGATGTGTCTACCTTATCAAATATAAATTCCAAGGAATTAAGATATTTTAAAATAATTTTCAATCAGATACAGGTTATTTTTTAACCCAAGGAAGCTAATTTATGAAATCACATTATAAACAAAGATACATGATAATGATAATGCACACAAAATCCTAATTATTAAGATTCTGGCGTGAAAAGGAAATCTATACAGAGAAAACTCAGAACTATATTTTCTTAGATCAGGTCCAAATGACAGATATTCTAAAACAGTGGTTCTCAATCTTCCTAATGCCGCGACCCTTTAATACAGTTCCTCATGTTGTGGTGACCCCCAACCCCCCATCCAGCTGGCCTGGAGGTATCAAAAACTTGACCAAAAAAAGAGGAAAAAATGGGGAGGTATAGGTAGTCCTCGACTTACAACAATTTGCTTAGTGACTGTTTGAAGTTACAACAGCACTGAAAAAGCGAATTATGATCATATTTCACACTTATGATTGTTGCAGCATCCCCAGGGTCATGTGATTTACATTCGGATGCTTGACAACTGATTCATACTTATGATGTTCACAGTGTCCCAGGGTCACGTGATCAATGGCAAGGGTTGTGGCCAAATGATCACTCAGGTTGCAGAATGCCTGTGGGGGGGAATCTGTGGGTCTCTGGGATGGGACTGGGGTGGGTGCCTGCCTTCCTTCCCTCCCTTCTCTCCATTTGTCCCTTCCTTCCTTCTTTTCTTCCTTTCCTTCACCTCCCTCTTAGTCTCTTCCTCCTTCCCTCCCTCTCCCATTATCCCTTCCTTCTTTTCTTCCTTTCCTTCACCTCTCTTAGTCTCTTCAGCCTTCCCTCCCTCTCTCCCATTGTCCTTCCTTCTTTCCTTCCTTTCCTTCACCTCCTTCTTAGTCTTCCTCCTTCCCTCCCTCTCTCCCATTGTCCCTGCCTTCCTTTTTTCCTTCCTTCTTTCCTTCCTTTCCTTCACCTCCCTTAGTCTCTTCCTCCTTCCCTCCCTCTTTCCCATTATCCTTTCCTTCTTTCCTTCCTTTCCTTCCCCTCCCTTAGTCCCTTCCTTCCTTCCTTCCTTCCTTCCTTCCTTCCTTCCTTCCTTCCTTCCTTCCTTCCTCCCTCCCTCCCTCCCTCCCTCCCTCCCTCCCTCCCTTCCTTCCTTCCTTCCTTCCTTCCTTCCTTCCTTCCTTCCTTCCTTCCCTCTTTGTCCCTTCCTTCCCTCCCTTCCATTGTTCCTTCCTTCCTTCCCTCTCTCATTGTCCCTTCCTTCCCTCCCTCTTCGTCCCTTCCTTCCTCCCCCCTCTGTGCCCAGGAAGGGACAAGGGGAGGGAGACAAGCTGCCAGAGGCAGAGGAGAGCTCTGCCCAGCTCACTTGCTCAGCTTCGCCAGAAAATGTGCCGTTTGCTAAGTTAGCAGAAGCCCCAGGATCAGCGCCGGGCTACAGCTGATTCGCGCTTCTGCTAAATTAGCAAGCAGCATGTTTTCTAGCAAAGCTTGAGCAAGTTTGCTGGGTAGGAGCCAAGGAGGGCTGCTACAGCTGACCTGCTTCTTGGCTGCTCTGCAAAAGTGCAGATCAGCTGTAGAGGTTTGCCCCGATCCTGGACAAGAGGGAAGGAAGGAAGGACGGAAGAAACAAGGGGAAAGAGGGAGGTGAAGGAAAGGAAGGAAGGAAGGAAGGAAGGGACAAGGGGAGAGAGGGAGGGAAGGAGGGACAAAGAGGGAGGCAAAGGAAAGGAAGGAAGGAAGGGACAAGGGGAGAGAGGGAGGGAAGGAGGGACAAAGAGGGAGGCAAAGGAAAGGAAGGAAGGAAGGAAGGAAGGGAGGAAGGGACAATGGGAGAGGGAGGGAAGGAGGAAGAGACCAAGAGGGAGGGAAAGAAAGAAAGTTCCTGCCAGCAGAGGCTTGCCAGCCCGGCTGCCGAGGAACAGAAGAGCGCAAAGCCAAGGAGAAGAAGGTGGCGGTTTCCTCCCAAAGGGGGCTCCTTTTCTCCACCCCTTCCCTGGGTTTGTGGGGAATTTCTCATCACCAATGCTGACAGGTGCTCCTTCGAGCCCGCTGTGAGCTTTCTCACCCCCTTTGCTTCTCCCCCCCGCTTTCGTGAGGATTGTGGCGCCCTTGGGAAGCCGATCGTGCTTTGAAGCTTAGGAAAGGAGGAGGAGTCCCTTCCTCCTTTCCTCCCTCTCAAGCCCCGGCTGGCTCGACATGAACGGGTGGAGGAGGAGTCAAGGATTGGCGGGGTGGCAAAGGAGACCGGTGGCCATCGCCAGACCTCCTGGCTGACAGGCACAAGTTCGGGGGTCACCAGCTGACGGGCACAGGAGTTGGGTGCTGCGGCGGCCTCCCCTTCGCTGACCTGCGTGCATGAGAAGAAGTCAATCTGGTTGCTGCACAATGAGTCTCTGGGGAGGGCGGAGCCTGTGCTCTTCATGCGCCCCCTGCAGGGCACATTTGGTAGAGTTCGTGCAGACTGCCGCCAAGCAGCATATTTTTCACAAACAAGTGAGGTGGAGCGGAGGTGGGAAGGAGAGAAGGCGGTTGACAAGCCCTGCCTAAGACCATCGGAAATATGTGTTTTCCGATGGTCTTAGGCGACCCCTGTGAAAGGCTCGTGCGACCCCCAAAAGACTCGCGACCCACAGGTTGAGAACCATTGTTCTAAAAACTACCATAGTTTCAGGCAAGTATATAAGAAATCATCCTGTCTTGTCTAGTTGCTTTCTATAACACTTTGGGTTCAAATCTAAGATAGCATTATAGTAGCAACTGAAAAATTAGTTTGGCTGAATTTATGGGATCAAAATATATTTTTACGTTTAGAATAATCCAAAACTGTAATATCAGAATAGCTTAAAACCAGTTAACATTTTCACAAAAATATAACAGGTTTGCTTTTGCTTTAATTCTACATTAAGAGAAATCTTACCCACAACAGTGAGTACAGCATTTGCAGAAACACTATCCAGTGTAGTATTAGCTACGCAAGTATATTCTCCACCATCCTTATCAGTGACATTCATAATTGTCAAGTTGTATTTACCTATAATAAACCTGTAATTAGAATACATTTAATTATTTCATTATTGCAAGCAGTTCTAAATATATAATTTATTAGTTGTAGTAAATTACAATAACATATTAACAGATGTACTTGTAACTTGACAGCAGTTCAAGAAGGAATCCAAAGAAGAAACCAAATTAGATAACTAAAATCCATTACAGAAAAGGAAAGAAGATATAGTGAAATTATGAGATCAGTTAGAACAATGGCAGAATAACAAATGTAGATACTTTTAATTTATTTATTACAATGATTTTTTTGGCCATTTAAGAACTTCCTGATGAGTTGTGATGAATTTCTCTTAGTATTATAAGTTTAAATATTGCAAAATAAATTCATCAGAAGTATATTTGAAATATGCATTCCACAGACATTGCTCAAACCAAAACACTAAGAAATGACATGCATTATGGAAAAATAACAGAGGAATCTGCTGGGGTTGTGTGTCAAAGCAAGGAAATTAAAAGAGCAATGTAACAATACAAGCTCCATCCCTTTTGTATGCGTGCCATCATATCACACATATGTATGAAATAAGTGAAACTTGCATCCTAGTGGCATGATGCTTTCATCTTTGTGAAAGCATCAGAACCTATTATTTTTTTAGTAACCTTAGTTTAGTGTAATGTGTTAAGCATTACACCATTCTGGTTTTCTTTTCTCTTTGCAGTTGAAATATAATCCCAGAAAAAGATACTTGATGAATATATCAAAAGATGCAGTATGATGTTACACAATACTGAATTTATTATAGCATACATGCCTGGTAGACAGAAATCATAATTGGTGCATTGCAGAAAGCACTATCTTAAAAATATAGTAATACTTTATCTGCAACAGGATATATTATTAAATTATATCTGGACTATTAAATCCCTTTGTTGATGTTTTATTAACTTGCAAAGAATGGGGCTAGGGGTAGGAATACGTACCGTCCATCATCAGGCAATTCATCATTTTCCTTCAACCATATAACTGTAGGTATTAATGTTGCATCATATTTAATCACACATTCAAAGAAAACCTGTTCCATCCTTTGTACAACTTTGTATTCAGGCTGCTTAATAATCATTGTGGGTTCTGAAACATAAAATAATTACTAAGATACTTAACAGTTACAAACTGTCAAACAGATTAGGAGGCTTTTATTTCAGAGCCATAGTCTCTTACCCTTGATTTCTAATTGAACACTATTCTGTGCTTTTCCTAGTTTATTTCTTGCTATGCAGGTGTACGTGCCACTGCTGTCCTTCTGGGCTTTCAGAATTTCCAAGGTGCCATTATTATGGAAAACATACTGGTTGCCCTGGAGAATGCTACCTTTCACTCCTTGAAACCTATGTATTGGAAAGAGATTGTCCAAATTATGCATTATTTGGAGGCAACATGTCTACTGCATCCCTATACCCCAATAGAGATGTAATAATATTTGATAACCTATAGAAAGATGATTATATACATACTTAACAGAAAAAAACAAAAGAACCAACTCACCCAAACTGTAAAATAAATGATTAGATTTAACACGCCTATTTTTTTTTAATATAATGTCCTCAATAAAGTTTGGGACTACAGCATATCACATAAAACTAACATTTTCATTCCTTCAACTCCATGCTCTGAAATTGCTGTTGATCCCTGGGTGATTCTGTTGATGAGAGCACTTAGTAGGGGGAACTGTTTACCCCTGTGATCCCAAACCTAATTGACTCCCCTCTTACTGGCAGTTATTTAAAAGAAAAGATAATGATTATTCATAGTCATGGATGTAATTAGTCATCAGATGTTTGCTAAGTAGTGTAAGACAAATTAATTATGTATAAAATTGGAAATTAAATGAATTAATCAAGGTTTCCTTCCCATGAAATGGAAAACAAACAATTAAAGTATACAAAAAGTATCTCTATTTAACTTTCCAGATTCTCACAATATACAATAGTTTAATGTACATTAAGCATGATTCCCCCCCCCCATTGTGAGCGACTTACCATTCAACTTCAGGCATAGGCGAACCAAAAAAAGCACAATCTAGCAATGCAGATTTATTTTCAATGACTTGATAAAGTTTATTATATGAAGTAAGGATTCTTGGTGGTTCAGCTGAAAATAAAAATATCTTTTTAAATAGTGTGACTATTTTGAATGCATTTGTGTAGGAAAGTTTATAAATCTAGACATATACCTTATATTTATATAAGTTTTTATGTCTAGCATTGATGATGTTATAATAATTATATTATATACAATATTGTATATAATATTGTTACAATAACATGTAACAATAATGTTGCCATTATCATACCCTAAGTAAATTAAGTAGAACCCTCTGCTGTTACAGATATGTAACTTTGGAAAAAAGTGTATTTCGTTTCAATAAATGCAATATTTGAGATCTCAATAATAAATTTATTATGATTTTTTTTATTTCCCAAGATAGTTCTCTGCCTTATATCTTATGTAATAATTTGAATAAGACTAGTAACCTTCTAAGAACAAAATTTTTAGGGTTGTCTTTAAGTCAGACATTCTTAACCTGGGGACCACCTGTAATCCAGTTTGGCATAGCAGTTAAAGTTGCAGGCTAAAAATCAGAAGAATTTAAATTCTTGTCCCACTTTAGGCACAAATCCAGTTGGATGACTTTGAGCCATATACTCTCAATTGTAGGAAGAAGGCAAGGGCAAACCACTTCCAAAAATGTTGCCAAGACAACTGCAGGGACTTGTGCAAGCAGTCACCAGGATCAGTACTGATTTGAAGGCACACATATCTTAAAAAGTTGAGTAACCCAAATAATTTTTCTATGCAAATTAGGTAGCACTTAGCCAAATGATCCCCCAAATAAAGATGAATAGGATTGTATGTAAGAGCGATGGCTCAGTGGTTAAATGATGCTTAGCTTCTCAGCTGGAAAGCTGAGATCCTGTGTTCGAGACCCAAGCACCATATAATGGGGTGAGCTCCCATTACTTGCCCCAGCTTCTGCCCACCTAGCAGTTCAAAATCATGTGAGTAGATAAATAGGTACCACTTCAGTGGCAAGGTTAGCATTGTTCTGTGCACTTTGGCATATAGACATGCTGGCCATATGAACACGGAAATGTCTGTGGACAACTCTGGCTCCCTCGATTAAGAAGCAGGAGATAAGTACCATCCCCTAGAGTTGGATCCAACTGGACAGGGGAAACCTTTACCTTTATTCGATCTAGCTTACTAATCCTCCAAATAAAGATGAATAGGGCTGCATGTAAGACTTTGTTGGGACTGACATTTGATGTTAAGGTATCAAATCTGGCATTCATTATACACTTTTTTATTCATTAACTATACTGGTTTATGTATTTTAAATATAATTAAATTTATATTAATATAATAATATAATTTAGGTGCTAGAAAGACATGCCCAGTAAATATTAAGTTACCAATGAGTCAATATTGTAGTATGTACTGTCCACTGAGTAATAAAATACCATTATTATTAGATTTTTAATTTTTAAAAAGCACCTAAAATATTACCTAAAATATTCACAAATGCATTTGCTAATAGATAGCCATATTGATTAGAGGCATTACACTGGTACACAGCACTTGATCTTTCTTGCACATTTGTGAAAATAATTGTATCACCATCAATTTTTCTGCTGGGATCTTCAGGAGCAACTGTTAAAATACACAGGATAGATTAAATTATTAAATGCTGAAAAATTGTTCTTTGATTGTAAGAAAATAATTTGAAGAAAGATCATAAATACTGTAAGAAATATAACAAAATGCCATATACATAATTTATAAGTTTGAACATTCACATCACATATTTTATGACATTGCACTTTTATTTATCATGTATTATTATTTTTATATATTATTTTGCAAACATCATAGTTTTCTTCAAATGATTATTTATTAACTCTAGAAATACACACACAAACATATTCCTTCACTCTGTCATGCACCAACCTTATTCTAACTCAGAATTACATAGTTTAATATTAGTAGTCCAAATCAGGATATGTGTAAGGACCCACCCCACTTTTCATCTTAAGAAGACAGAACTCTTGGAATAATTCTTCCAACAGGAATCCTTTATTAAGAGAAAATGGTTGCAGGCATGCTAGACAGGACTTGGGGTTCAAGCTCTTCCATTCAAGGTTTTAAGGGGTTCCCCAGTAGTCCCACCCAATCAACCCCCCTTCCAGTGATAGTTTCAAGTATCACAATTCCACCCCCTTTCTTCTTTCTTCCGTCTGAATGGAGACTTCAGGTAACTACATGAAAGGCAAGTATCCTGCTTTGTTATGATAAGGTTCTCTAGTGCTAACGCTTTGATGTTACAATAAACACACATTCAGCATTCAGCTCTTTGAAGTGTACTGAAGGAAGTGAGGGCCATAAAGCCCCTTTGTTCTCCCCCTTCTCTCCCTCTTATGGCAGAATCCAAAGAAGGCAGAATTGGGAGTTTCTATATTTGATAATTAAAGATGAAATATGATTGGATTCTGACAATATGATAATTAGATTCCAAGCCAGTGGATCATTTGTATCAGAAGAATATTCCTGCAAGCTAGCTTTTGATTTTATATATAGGCTCAGTATTTCTTAATATTATCTGACATGCACTTACAACAGGAGATGGAAATTAGACTAGAATTTTCTTTGTGCAAAATATACACTACTCAGTTGTGGTTTCTCTTCTATTCTTTGATAGATCAAGGGTAAGCAATTGTGTCACTATAAATATTTCTATAATTCCCAGCAGAAGGGTCAGTAGTGAAGAAAGCTGGGAGCTATAGCAGATGTTCATAGGCTTACTTCTGGGTTATATGCAAATAGAATGGGATTTTTTTTTTCCTCAAAAGATTAAAACATAGCAAATGCTCCTAATATAATTAGGAAGGCAATTTCATACTCTTCTTCCCCATTTATCTTTGTTACTCTCAATTCTGCTTCCCATCTTGCTTGGAACATCTTCAGACTGCTTAGAATTCTTTTTAGAGCGTACAATTAAGTATAAAAATAAGTGTAAAATTAATTGTACAATTAAATGTACAATCAGTTATATACCAATTGAGCATCCCAGTGGATAAAAACATGAATCATCATTTATAAAAATATAATATTAAAAATCTTCTTAAAGTGCTTCTCCATTATAATAATAATAATAGTAGTAAAGTTGGAAGGGACCTTGGAGGTCATCTAGTCCAACCCCCTGCTCGGGCAGGAAACCCTACACCATTTCGGACAAATGGCTGTCCAGTCTCTTCTTAAAAACTTCCAGTGTTGGAGCATTTACTGCTTCTGGAGGCAGGCTGTTCCACTGATTAATTGTTCTCACTGTCAGGAAGTTTCTCCTTAGTTCTAGGTTGCTTCTCTCCTTGATTAGTTTCCACCCGTTGCTTCTTGTCCTGCCTTCAGGTGCTTTGGAAAATAGCTTAATTCCCTCTTCTTTATGGCAGCCCCTGAGATATTGGAATACTGCTATCATGTCCCCCCTTGTCCTTCTCTTCGTTAAACTAGACATACCCAATTCTAGCAACCGTTCCTTATATGTTTTAGCCTCCAGTCCCCTAATCATCTTTGTTGCTCTTCTCTGTACTCTTTCTAGAGTCTCAACATCTTTTTTACATCGTGGTGACCAAAACTGGATGCAGTATTCCAAGTGTGGCCTTACCAAGGCATTGAAGAGTGGTATTAATACTTCACGTGATCTTGATTCTATCCCTCTGTTAATGCAGCCTAGCACTGTGTTGGCCTTTTTGGCAGCTGCAGCACACTGCTGGCTCATATTTAAGTGATTGTCTACTAGGACTCCGAGGTCCCTCTCACAGTTACTACTATTGAGCATGGTGCCACCTATGCTGTACTTGTGCATTTGGTTTTTCTTGCCTAAATGTAGAACCTTGCTTTTGTCACCATTGAATTTCATTTTGTTAGTTAGTGCCCAGTGTTCAAGTCTGTCCAGATCCTTCTGTATCTTAAGCCTGTCTTCTGGAGTGTTGGCTATTCCTGCCAGCTTGGTGTCGTCTGCAAATTTGGTGAGTTCCCCATCTATCCCTTCATCCAAATCGTTGATGAAGATGTTGAAGAGTACTGGGCCCAGAACAGAGCCCTGGGGCACCCCACTACACACTTCCCTCCATATAGATGCAGTTCCATTGAGGACCACTCGCTGAGTACGGCCGGTCAGCCAGCTACGGATCCATCTGGTGGTGGTTCTGTCTACCCCACATTTTTCTATCTTGTCAAGTAGTAGGTTGTGATCTACTTTATCAAATGCCTTACTGAAGTCCAAGTAAATTATGTCCACAGCATTCCTCTGATCCACTAATTTTGTCACTTGGTCAAAGAATGCAATAAGATTTGTCTGGCATGATCTATTTTTGACAAACCCATGTTGGCTTTTAGTAATGACTTTGTTTGCCTCTATCTTTTCCAGGATCTTCCCAGGTATTGAGGTCAGGCTGATAGGTCTGTAATTTCCTGGATCCATTTTTTTTCCTTTTTTGAGGATGGGAACTACATCAGCTCTTTTCCAGTCCTCTGGTAGTTCCCCTGTGTTCCAGGATCTTTGAAAAATATAGTTCAGTGGCTCCAATATCACATCTGCCAGTTCCTTGAGAACTCTGGGGTGTAATCCATCTGGTCCTGGCGATTTGAACTCATCTAGGCTGGACAGGTGCTCCCTAACCATTTTCTTGCCTATCTTAACTTGTGTTTCTATTTTGTTTTTTATGGCACTATTTTTGATAGGTTGGTCTGTTTTTTCCCTTTGTGTAAAGACAGATGCAAAAAATGAGTTAAATAGTTCTGCTTTCTCCCTGTTGCTTGTCACCTTCTTGCCACTTCCACCCACTAATGGACCAATCATTTCCTTCACTTTTTTCTTGTTTTTTACATGTTGAAAGAAGATTTTTTTGGTTTTTCATTTTGAGCCTTGGCTTTCTTCACTTCATCTTTGCAGGCTCGGGCTATTTGCTGATATTCTGACTTAGTTATGTTCCCCTCTTTCCACTTTCTATACTTGTCCTTTTTATCTTTCAATTTGTCAGAGAGTTCTTTATGCAGCCATGCTGGTTTCTTTTGAGAGCTGTTATTTTTCCTCTTTGTTGGTATTGTGCTAGACTGTGCTTTTATTATCTCATTTTTCAAAATTTCCCAAGCTTCTTGAGTTGTTTTCCCCTTGAGGATTCTCATCCATGGAATCCTTCCCAAGCCCTCTCTAAGTTTATTGAAATTAGCTCTCTTGAAGTCCAAGACTCTAGTTTGACTGTGTTCTATTGGTTGTGCTTCTATAATGTTGAATTCTAATATTGCATGATCACTTCCTCCCAGGGTTCCTATGGCTTCAACACCGTCTATCATTTCATCTCTGTTAGTGAGAATTAGATCCAAAATGGCTAATCCCCTAGTTCCCTTCTCTACTTTTTGGGAGACAAAGTTGTCTGCTAGGTTTGCCAGGAACCTGTTTGATCTTCCACTTGGTGCGGAGTTTGTCTCCCAGTTGATGTCAGGGTAGTTAAAGTCCCCCATTACTATTGTGATGTGCTTCCTACATACCTTAGTTAGCTGACTAGCAAAAAGTTCATCTATTTCCTCTGTTTGGTTGGGTGGTCTGTAGTATACACCTATGGCAATGTCATTTCCCCCCCCTTTTATATTGACCCAAATGCATTCAAGACAGTTTTTATCATTGTTGTACTCTATTTCTGTGGAGATGTAGTTATTTCTTATATAGAGAGCAACTCCACCTCCTCTTTTATTTGGTCTGTTTCTTTTAAATAATTTAAATCCCTCTAGCTGTGTGTTCCATGTGTGAGTTTCATCCCACCATGTTTCCGTAATGGCAACAATATCGTATCTGCCCTCATTAACCTGAATTTCTAGTTCACCCTGTTTGCTGTTCATACTCTGTGCATTGGTGTATAAACATTTGAGTCCTTTGTGGGTGGCCCTGTGTTTCCTTTCTACATAACCTGTGTGGTGCCTGAGTTCCCCTATTGTCTTACCACCTATTTGGTTAGTGCACTTTATGTGGCACTCGCTATTAGAGGCTTCATTTTGATTGGTAGCAAGGTTGGTATTCTTGTCCACACACACATCTATGCTACATGCACTGATAGCCCTATAGTTTTTCAATTGCCGGGGACAGGGTTGTTCCGTATCAATTAACTCCCTGTCCCCGCTGTTTAGTTTAAATTTCCCTCCAGAAAATCTGTGAATTTATAGCCGAGTAACTCAGTCCCTTTTTTTGATGGATGCAAACCATCTCTTTTGTACATCTTTTGATTGGACCAGCTACTGACATCGTGACTAATATATCCGAAGCCTTCCCCTTTACACCACTCCTTTAGCCACATATTGAATTGTGCTATGCGCTGGCCTTTTCCGTTTTGCTCCTTATACACTGGTAAAACCTCTGAGAAAGTAAGCCTACAGCCTATCCTGCTAAGTTCCTTCCCCAAGCTCTGGAAATCATTCTGCACAGAGAGTACATCTTTTTGGGACAGATCATTAGTGCCAAGATGTACAATAGCCTCCACATCTCAGTCTTTGCTGCCATTCTTGATTATTTTAGAAATACGCTTCTTGTCCTTACTGGCAGTAGCACCTGGAAGACACCTGACCTCTTTCAAAGCCTCTGTGTCCTTTCCTAAATTTACATCCCTTATAATTGAATCACCTACCAGAAGGTAGCTTCTCTTTTTGGGAGCCTTTCTATTCTTGCATCACTGATGTGCAATACCTGATTCACACTTCTCCCTGTCAAAATCTAGTTCTTCATCTTGGACCACAATCCCCTGCTTATTTGAGTTATCTTGACAAATACCTTTACCTGTCTCCTTAATGTCCCTATTAAGGTCAGCAAGGGCACTGTAGCTGTTGTGCAGGGACACAGCGAAAGCTTTGTGTTTATGGTTCACAGCTCTCACCCTGCCAGATCCCACGGTTGTCCACACTGCCCTTTTCCTGCAGGATCTTTGTGGTAAAGGGGGCTGATAGCAGGGAGGCTTACTAGAGTAGAGGGGCTGAACTGGACACCTAGTTTCTGCCCGAAGAGCACGGATTACAGACCCTAGGTAAATGATCTGTCCTTGTAGGTTAGTGAGCTTATATGAGCTTAGCAATAGGACTTTCTTATCCCTTTCCTCTAATTAATTGCCTCACATGCGATGCTGGCTCTCTCTTTGTGAGATACAATTTGAAATGTTCTTTTCCAGTGTTCCTGAATCAATGTGCATAGCAACTTAATGGGAAAGAAAAAATAAACTTCAGAAAGGGTTGAATAATACTCTGGTTTAGAAACATCAAGGAACTACTATTTCACACTGAAGCATTTGATATAATTGGTTTTAGATTCCTTTCTTCAACTTCTTAACTAATAATCTGACTATTTTGCAGATTCAAAAGCTCTTATTTTATAAGACAAAATATCATTCATTTCTTCTTAAATAAATACATGGTGAATTCATAATTTTCAATTTTAGACTTAATCAAGTTATTCTCTCTCTTTCTGTGTAATCTTTAAAGAATAATGTACATTTTTCTACTTACATTAAATTATACCATGGAAGCTCTACAAATGTGGGAAACGTTTTGCTGATTCTTAACAAAACTTTGACTATTTGTTCAAAATCTTATATTGACAAAACCACCATTATCAAGCAAGAATTTCACATAAAAGTGAAAACAGCCCATACTTTCAACTGGAATTCCATTTGCTAACCAGCTTATGCTGGGTTTAGGATTGCCATTAGTTCTACAAATCAAGGAACCATCTTCTCCAGGAGATAATACAAGGTTTGTAGGTTCTTTTATCCAATAAGGGGCAGCTGAGTTTAAAAGAAAGAAGCAAAAACATTCAGCAACTAGGTTGCATAGATTAATATAATTAATGTCAAAACTCCAAATGCATACAGAACAAAAATGCATTTATTAAAATAAATTAGAATAAATTGTTTCTTTAATAATCAAAAGTTTAGCAGCATTTTTTTCAAACTAACAAATGTTATTAAAGGCATAAATGTTCATTAGCTACAGCTCACTTCATTCAATCATCTTCATCTGCTTGGTTATGATTCTAAAAAGATGCATAAATCATCTTTTTATACTAAGAGCTATTTAAATTCAATAGTATATAAAATGTGTGGTAGAGACCTATTTTCCAATCCCTAAAAATCTTCTTATATCAGAGGCATAGTGAGTTGAGAGACTGAACGACGAAAAGAATAACAGAAAATACAACTATGGATAGTCCTTGCTCAACATTCATTTGTTAGGGGCTGTTTGAAGTTGAACAAAAGGATGTATAAGCTGGCCAAATTCTGGCCATTGCAGTGCCCCTGCAGTCACATGAATAAAATTTGAGCCTACTTGGGACTATCTACATTTACAACCACCACTTGGCTGTTTGCCTATCCACTGCTACCAGCTGCCCCTGCTACTGGCCTTGCCCCTCACAACAGCTGTGCCTGCCACATTGTATGCCACTACTGAACCAGCTGGGCCCTTTTTTGTGCCACCTTCTTTCATGGAAGTATAGCTGGGGGGTTTCTCTGCCATTCCCACAACCTCTGTTTGCGTGCCAGCCAGCATCTTCATGTGCAGCTAGGGTCTCTTTTCATTTGCAGCTAGGGCAAAATAATATGGCATGAAAGAAGGCTGTCAAGGATGTAGTAATACATGTTGCAGCAGTTAGCAGAACTGGGGAGCAGAAGCAGCTGGTGGCAGTGGATTGGCAGGCAGCCAAAAGGGCAGAGATGGGTGGAATTCAAGAGGAAGCAGACTTTACCTTACTAGACTCATGACTGGAAAGGCCAAGTCACGAATGGCTTGGATTGGGATGAAACCTTGCCTAACAACCAGAGGCATTACCATCATATTTTTTAAAAGATTTTTTTAAAACTTGCCTTTATTACTTTTATAAATAATTCAAGGTGGTAGACATACTTAATAATCCTTCCTCCTCCTATTTTCCTCACAACAACAAAGTGACTTTCAGCTGAGAGAGAATAATTGGCTCAAAGTCAGCAGCCAGTTTATGTGCCTCAGGCACAACTAGAACTCACCGCCTCCTGATTTCTAGCCTGGCGCTATAATCATGAGACCAAGACACCTCTTTTTTTGTTATTAGATCCTATGTAATTCAAAGTTTTGTCTAGCAAATTTCTGATCCTGCTCTTGAAGAATTCCTGATAATCAGATTTAAGATGTACCCAGAAATGCCAAATTTGAGCAATTTTAGGCCAGAAACAGCATGCAATTGTGATGCTTCTATCATCCCTGATGCTCTCTGCTGACTGTACTGACGTTGCAGTTTATTACAACTTTTACAAATCTTTTTATTTTCCTTTAACATTTCTTTCCTGTCACTGGTTCTATTATTTATTACTTCACCCACTATAATATCATGGAATTAAAATATAGACTTAAATGAAAGAAAAGTGTAACTGAAACTCTCAGAAACTGAAAAATTGACTACAACAGTCCATCAGATTTAAATACTGTATATCCTCAGATTACGTTTTATATATTTGAAGGTCCTCCTTCTTCTCATGTTTATTATGAATTATCAAGAAGAATTTTAAGATACTAAGAAAATTAAAAGTTGCTATAAAATCCCAATTAATCATATGCAACTTGGCCACTTTTATTTTTATTAAAGGATGTATTGCTGATCTGGCATGAATGTGAATTCAGAAACATTGTTTACAGAATATACATGTAAACTTTTAAATGCCAAACAAGACAACAGTAATTTTACCTTTGACATTGACTGTGATAACATGGTAAGCAGAACCCAAACGATTTGTTGCTATACATTTGTATTTTCCTGAATCAGCTTGAGAAACAGCTATAATTTTGAGGGTTTTATGAAAATTTTCAAAGAAAGTCCTGTTGACAGGAAGGTCACCACCCTCTTTGCTCCAGCGGATTAATGGCGTAGGTCTAACAGAAGAAAATATCATTAAGAATAATTGAGATTACAATGTTTAAATAAAGTACATTTTGGAGTTGTTTTAATGATTAAATTAATTTAATAATGGTTTTAAATCCAAACATAATCATTTATTCTAAGCTTTGTAAAGGGTACTAAATACTTATTATACAGTATTTAAATTTTATTGGCTTTATTGCCTATACTATATGTTATCTTAATTGGACAGGGCTGAAAGACAGTATTGCCACTTGCTATAATTTGGTCAACTATAATAAATGTAATGGTATGTTGGAAAGACCTTGGGAGGCTGAGCAAGGAAATGCTGCCAGGGACATGATCAGATAAAAGACAGCATAGCCCACAGCTGTATAGTGGGTATCCACAGTTGTATAATGGTATTATTACTCTTATTTTCCTTGATTAAAATGACAACTCACAATCCTTCTGCAATACATTCCAGCATAAGAGTGTTTCCTCTTAGTTCGATTTTGCTACTTGCATTTCCAGCAGGAGTTAGAAGAGATGGCTGTCTTTCTGAATAAAATCTGACTAAAAAAAAGACATAAAATTATATATCATTTAAATGGAATCAAAATTTACACTAAAACTAATTCTTTGTACCCAGTGCAATGCATGCATGAACATGGATTCAGTAGTTATATAAAAAGTGTTTTGCCTAGGGTTCTATAACTTATTGGATTACCTAACCAGTTTGGCAAGAGATAATTTTGACAGAGATAAGGGTTTTGCTTTGTATATCAAAATTGTGATCAAATTTGCAGTTTAAAAAAAAATGATAGAAAATGCTTTTCCTATCATTTTTTTTAAGCAGAAAATTTGATCACAGATTGCAAAAACAACTTTTTCTTGGAAAATTTATTATTTAATTCTAGTATAAATATTCTTAGGATAAATAAAACACAATAATGAAAATACTAGGCATTGAGTTATAATAATGGGTAAAACTTCCATGGAAAATCTTTGATTTTGAACTATATATTAATTTTAATTGTTATACAATTAATTTAATTATCTTCCATGTATATTCAAACTCTTGCTCTCATTAATGGGATTCTGAATAGTTGTAAGCAAAGAGGACATAGAGAAGGTCCTTATGTACAGTAGCTCAATCCAGCTTTAGTTCATGGGGTGGAATGTAGTCTGAATTCCAAGAAAGGAGAGGCTGCATTCCATAAGCAAAGAGGCATGAAATATTTGGTTGGGAGGAAGACATTAAGAAGGAGGCTCCTCCCTAGCAGTTCCCAGAGTATAACTATATTGAGGCAAATAGTTTCTTAGTTTGACATGATTTCTGTCTATAAGTGAGGAACAATAAAGGAAACTACTCAGAAATAACTCCATGTGTATTTCTTAGTACCTAAGAGTCTTGGCAGTTCCACAACCTCTCTTAAGAAAATACTAGAACTGTAATTTGATATAATTTTATTCTTTGGGGATTTCTAATATCTGCTCATATTAACTTGGGAATTACTTTAAATAACGGACTAAAAGTATATCCAGGGAGAAAGATGTTATAAAAAATAGTATGTTCCAGAAATCTAAAGTGAGCAGGTTGCCCTGCCCTGTTTTCTGCATATGAGCTTCATGCATTCAAAGAAAATAAGTTACTTACTGTTTTAAGGGGAAAGGAAAATTATCAAGCACTGCATCTAACACTTACACAAAAGTTGCAAATCAGCCAATACAAAAATATTCTAATTTAAATGCTGTTTTATGAAACAGTAGAAGACAAATACTATTCTATGTCTGTTTCTATTCCTTAAATAGTTATGGGCAATGGCAACTGAAAAGGAAAAAATTGTACCTGCAGGTAGGTAAAGTGAAATAAAGGGAGCCTATGATATCAGGAATACTCTAATACAGTGGTTCTCAACCTGTGGGTTGGGACCCCATTTGGGGTTGAACGACCATTTCACGGGGGTCGCCAAACAACGCAGTCCGCCATTTTTTTCCCCTTTTCCTTAGCTGCGCTACTCCCTTTTCTTCTATTGGCTTTTGAAAGCCAATAGAATAGACTCTCTTGAATAGAGTCTAATTCTATTGGCTTTCAAAAGCCAATAGGAATTGTCCAGGCTGTCTCTGCCCTGCTGAGCCCGTCAAAAGTCCCATTCTGCAAACGGTGCTGCACCAGTTGAGTAGTCCTCGACTTACAACCAGTTGAGTAGTCCTTGACTTACGACCGGTTGGGGGTCGTGGCATTAAAAAGGTTGAGAACCACTGCTCTAATATATATCTATATATCTGCATCCATCCTATAATCTAGGTATATTATTATATTACATTACATTACATTACATTACACTACACTTCACTACACTACACTACATTACATTACATTACAAGCATAGCTTAGTGAGTATATTAAACAGCTGGTAATATAATAGACATATTACAAGCTGGTTTGTTTTTTGTATTAATTGCTTTTTTAAAAAAAAAGTGATATTCATAGAAAGAATAATCATAATCATAATGAGAACCATAACTTTCTATCTTCATAAAGGACTGAAATAAATAAATAAAATGTCACATTAGAACATGAATATTTTTAAACATGTAGCAAATATATTCATCTTAATACAAATTATTAAGTACTTAACAATATATTTAGTAAGGTATTAAACAGGACAATAGTTTTTCCTTGCTTTTTAACAAATTAATTATTTAGAATAAGTAGGAATTATTGTGTAGTTCCAGGAACGAATCATCAGAAAATTAAAAAAATGAAAAGAAAGATTGTTAAATTGATTCTTGGGTCAAAATGAAACATGTTCTTCATGCAAATATTCTGCTGTTATTTCCTAATTATCTAAACTTAATAATATTATGTAAATTATTTAACATAGCTCCAGTTCTAATGAGATTTGTATTAATGTAGTATGAGCAGAAAGATTAAACAGCCATGAATTAATGTTAGTTAACTAAATTCTATATGAATGGAATAATGTTCATCTCTAAAACTCACCACCATAAAAATCAGAGTCATTCATATTAGCAGTTAATGTTTCATTCAATGAATCCACTGAAATAAACAGAATATCATGAAGAATGCAGCCAACAAAATTAAACGTGGGACTCAGAAATTAATCCTGTTATCACTACACTAATGCTTTTAACCTCAAGCACAAAGGATTTGGAACACAATCAGTGACCCTTCTTAGTGTCCAACATATATAGATATATTTTGATTTCTCATGTTCAAGATAATCCTCTTCTGGCGAAGGGACACGTTTGATTCCTCCAAAGTTAAGTTTCCCTATACTAGAAATTCCCAAATATTGAGGAAAATCCACCCACCTCATTCAAGAAAGTTTCTCAAAGAGGTAAGGGTTGCAATTGGCACAAATACAAAACAAAATTATTTAGTCTTTCCAGGCTACAGAAGCTACAAGTTGCCCTTTCTGATCTACAATTTGCTTTCTTGATGTGATTATCACATGAAACTTCACTTGCAAGTAGTATCTGAATGGGTATCATTCCTAAAACCTTATCAAACTGTATTCAAATGAAACTTGAAATTTTGCTAAGCAGTTACTTAATCTTATTGATGTTAAAAGAATTAAAGTACTAAAACTATTTGAGAATAGCAGCATATACTGTTAAAGGTAGTCCTTGAGTTACGAATGTAATGGAACCTGCCCATTCCATTCGCAACTCGAAAATTCATGGGAGTGAATCTCGTACTTGAACAAGATCACTCCCTGCTCATTAAGAAGCATGCAACTCGTTAAGTAAACATGAGGTATCCCAGAGTGGGGAAGGCTATGGAGGGCCTAGTGATGGGACAGGCCCCCAAGGCCTCCCTGATCCACTAAGATACTTCATGCTTCCGCCTCCCTTTTCTGGGCAGCAGTGGCCTGGAAAAGGCCTCTGACACCTGGATCAGGCCTCTGGTAAGCCGCCGAAGTATTCCCCGGCCTCATATCCAGGTAGCAGCAGCCTGGAAAAGGCCTCTGGTGCCCAGATCCAGCCTCTGGAGGCACACAGAAGCATCCCCCGGCTTCGGTTCCATTCTCTATTGCAGAGAACAGAGGCCTAAAGTAGCATGAGATCACACGAGATCAGTAGAGTGAGATCTCACGCCACTGATCTCGTGTGATCTTGCATTACTTTAGGCCTCCATTCTCTGCGAACACACCGAAGGCCTGGAGCAGCCAAGAAAGCGAAGGACCTTGATCTTCACAGGGTGACTATTGAAGGCCTAGTGCCTAGGGAGACCCAGGGGAAGGGTGGGGAGGGAGGGAGTAAGCAGGGTGAATGTTGCAATGCTACTGCGGTCACTCGTAAGGGTGAACAATTGCCGTGGTGTGGCAACATTCATAATTTTGGGATTTGCTCATAAGCACTAGGGGGCGCTTATCGCAGAATTTTGAACATTCGCTAGGGGAATGCTCACAACTCAGGGATTACCTGTATAGTGTTGTAATAAAGATATACTGCAAATTATTTTGACTTCTCTCTAAATATTTCATTGCAATATGTTCCAAGAAGACACAATTTTGCAAGAAAATGTTTTCTACTACTCCAATATAAATTATGTTTTGGCTAAATATAATGTCTACAAAGAAATTTAGAAATTCATACCTGGTTCAACTTTTAATGAAATAGGTTGCTTCTGTTGAATAGTTTGAGTGTGGTTAAATCTTGCATAACATATATAATCTTCACGGCTATCTTCTTGTATTATATTAGAAAAATAAAGATCTCCATTTAGACTTTGTGAAACTCTATTATTTTGAGGCAGCTTTTGAAAAGCTATAAAAATAAGAAATGAAACATCTGTAGTGCCAGCTCACATTATAGAATTATTTTAAGCATATAAGTAAGTTATCAACATTTTCTTCTGACAAGCCACATCTGTTTTATAGCCACAAGGAATCCAGTTCAACTTGAAGGGATTTTTACTTTTAAGAGAAGTTTTGCTTAACTGATATATTCTACAACAACTTCTATTACTATGGCAGTTTCAGAACTATGTTCCGGTTCATACTATAGTTTGTTTAGCTCATTCCATACACGGGACACATACTTTATTATTTTCAGGATATTTATTATATATTCAAAATTGAAAATATAATTACAATACCTAAAGTAGGACAGACTGTTAAAAGGAAGCAATACATTCTAATAAATAAAGAATATTAATTACAATAATATAACATTAGGCCATGTTCAACAACAGAAATTATAAAAAAAATATATAACTGTAGATAACCTATGAAAGCATTCTCCACTAATCACATTACAATTACTATTAACAATTAGACAAAAATAAAGATATGAAATGTATTTAAAACAGTACAAGCAAACATTTCTTGGAAATCTATTATCTAAGCATCATTCCTAAGAAAAGAACCACTAAGATTTTAGTAATTGGATAAGTCCAGTTTTAAATATTTAAATAATTACTTGGAATTATAGCATAAGCCATAGTCTGAAACAGTTCAAACATATTATGCATTTCTTGTCACACAAAAAGGAAAATATAAGATTGCTTTCTAATATAAATCTACATAATAAAAATTGATAAACTCCAATAAGCCTATTGATTTATTAAACATTTACAACCCTCTCCCTCGAACAAATCAATCAATTTGTAGCATCCAGTTTAATTCTATCCTTGTCTTCAATAAAGCTCAATGAGCAACCTAGAACTAAGGAGAAACTTCCTGACAGAACAATTAATCAGTGAAACAACCTGCCTCCAGAGGTTGTGAATGCTCCAACACTGGAAGTTTTTAAGAAGAGACTGGACAACCATTTGTTTGAAATGGTATAGGGTAGGCATGTCAAACTCGTGATGTCACTTGACGTCACGCGACGTATCGGAGCTTTTTTGCCATTGCCAGCAATGGGGTGGGCGCAGCTCCGGTATGATGAAACCGGCCCGCGGGCCAGCAGTTTGACACCCCTGGTATAGGGTTTCCTGCCTGAGCAGGGGGTTGGACTAGATGACCTCCAAGGTCCCTTCCAACATTATTAGTATTGTTGTTGTTGTTATTATTATTTCTGCTTGTTATACTGGGAAATAGAGATAAAAATACCACATCATAATCATTATGCCAAATTTAAATTTTCACTATGACAGGAGCTGTCTCCTAAAAAAATATTATAAATTTAATATAGACTTGTTAATTATATTAGTTAGAAAAACAATATGGAACATATTAAGATAGGAGACAGAAATCTGGGGAAATCACAATTGCATCCATTATGAAAACAGCGGCTTTGTTTCCCCAATTAACCTTGTTAGTTACAAACAGAAACATTGTAACATTTCATTATGACTTCAAAATATGATGTGTTATTATCACACATATGGTGCACATATATGATACCATGACATTTGAGCAAGTACATAAGTGATATATTAACACAAAATTATTGCATAAATGTCAGCATTTGTCTCCTCCATCTGAGAAATTGACCATTTAGGGAAGATTAGAATTACTGTAAAATAATGCCTCCCAATCCCAGCCTTGACAGTACAGTAGCACAGATGGATACTATGGTCAAAACATTACTCTTAAATGTAGGACCAGGTGAGAGTTTTCACCTCACCACTGTCCTGTCTCAGATCATCCATCGTGACTGACATTTTTTCTGACCCATGGCCAGGTCTGAATCCTAGCTGAAAAGAATGCATATAATCTGCTTTATCCAGGATACTTTCCAACTGAAGAACTGCAATCTTGTCTACCCTCCTTGGCAAAGGAAGAATGTATAGCAATTGTGGATAGCAATTTTCTATGACAGTCAAGGCCTGATAGCACATCTTTAAGATAAAGTGCATCTGTCCATCCTTCAAGACAGGTGGCATTAGACCCCCTCCCAATAAAGGGTTTACAACCAGATCCAGCCGATATAACTTTACCCTCCACTTCCAAAAAAGCCACATTAGGAAGGACCCCAGTTTACAAATGGTAACAATTGTGCTTTCCAGCACCATATTCACTTCCTTAGAATACACTAGATTAAATGAATCCCAAATAATATTGCAAGATTTTATAGATCATCAGATTCTAACTACACAGAATTGAGATTTCAGTGAATTTCAGTGCTCAAAACAGTCAAAGCACTTATTCTCATCTGCTAATAAGAGGTGGATCAATCTAAACAAGATCGTTGGGCAGTAATAGATGAAGCAATAAGGATACAGAAGTAGGAATATTTCTTGCCGTATTTAATTGCCATAGTGCCGTTTTATTTATAAGTATATAGCTGTACACGTAGTCCTTAATTTATGACCATAACTGAGCCCAGAATTTCCTTTGCTAAGCAAGGTGGTTGTTAAGTGAATCACACTCGATTTTATGATCTTTTTAAACCATGGTTGTTAAGCAAACCGCTAAAATGAATCATGCAGTTGTTAATCTTGTTTTTCCCACTGACTTCGCTTGTCAAACGCTGACTATGAAGGTTGCAAATGATGATCACATGTCCTCGGGACACTGCAACCATCATAAATATCTGCTGATTGCCAAGCATCCAAATATTGATCAATGACTGTGGGGATGCTGCAACAGTGATAAGTAGGAGGGCCAGTTTTAAGTCACTTTTTTTCAGTGCTGTTGTAACTTTAAACGATTGCTAAATGAATTGTTGTCAGTTGGAGACTACTTGTATTATGTCAAATTCACTTCTGATTTTGTTCCACTAATGCTCTAGCACAGGGCTTTTCAACTTTTTCACCCATTGTACCACTTTTAGGATAAGGCAATATCAGAGTACCACCAGTCTCTTAGCGACCCCCCCCCAAAAAGGAAAAAATGATAAAGTACAGATAGTCCTCGTCTTACAACAATTCACTTAGTGACTGTTCGAAGTTACAATGGCACTGAAAAAATCTAATTATGACCATTTTTTCACACTTATGACTGTTGCAGCATCCCCAGGGTCATGTGATTTACATTCGGATGCTTGGCAACTGATTCATACTTATAACATTCACAGTGTCCCAGGGTCATGTGATCAATGGCCAGGGGGCGTGGCCAGCTCATCACTCAGGTTGCGTGGTGCCTGTGGGGGGGAATCTGTGGGTCTCTGGTGCAGGGAGATGGGACTGGGGTGGGTGCCTTCCTTCCCTCCCTCTCTCCCATTGTCCCTTCCTTCTTTCTTTCCTTCCTTTACCTACCTCTTTGTCCCTTCCTCCTTCCCTCCCTCCCTCTCATTGTCCCTTCCTTCATTCCTTCCTTCGTTCCTTCCTTCCATTGTCCTGTTCAGGCAGGGCGGGGATGTCGCCGGTTCACCTCCCGTTTTCAGGCACGTACATTATGAACCGGCTACTTTTCCCAATCATTTTTTCCCTACCGGGGCCCAGTATTTGAACCAGGTTCCCCAATCCTCTCTGTGTACATCATTCTTCCCATAGCTCTCCCCAGCGCTGTCGAGAGATGCCCATTTCTGGCCGCATTGCTACCGTTCTTAAGTTACATTTGCACCTACCTGAAGCGATGCTTTTCTTTCTCTCCAAAGGAAGGGAGACAAATCCGCATTGCCACCAAGTCACCCTTCCTTTTGGGCAAAGTAATCTCCAGTCCCCACTTTTGAAACTGAAGCAGAGAGTCGGAGAGCTGCGTCACTCTCGCTGTTTGGACCCTCTACTTTTACGGTCTGGGAGCAGCTTGCCTTTCAAACCTCCAATAACTAATGGAAGGGGAAACCCGCTGCAAAAGCGCATCTCGCAGAGTTACCACCAAGCGACAGCTGCATTCAACTGCTGTGGAAAAAGAAGCATCACGTTTCCCATCAGTGCAGGTAGTCTGGGTCCTATGAGAGGCCGAGTGGGAATGAAGCAGCCCTCGGGTCTGTGCTGCAGAAAAGCTGCAAGTGCCGGTGTCGCCTGCCCAGCTCACTTGCTTGCGGAAAACAGGTAGCGGCAGCATAGTCAGAGGAGGGGGGGGCAACGGTTGTTTCAACCACTGGTGGCAACAGTGGCAGCAGAGAGAAAAAGGGCCAGACGTTCCTGCTCCTCCTCAGCACACGTTCAAGGCTGTTGAGGAAAGGGCAAAAAAAAAAGCAGAGTGGGGGGGAGGAAGGCAACCGAGACACTCACCTCGTGCGCACCTCCCGGAGTTTGCCTTTGCACTGCCTTTAAAGCAGTGAGTTAAAAAAAAACCTGAAAAGATTGGGGGGGGGGAGGAGATCAGTCAGCCAAGAGCCTGGCTATTTCAGACTTTAAGCCCGCAATACAGGCAAAGCTGTGCACTTCTCCCAGCCCAGAAGGGGAAACTGACTGGCGGGCAGGCAGGCTGGCCGTCGCGGAAATGGGGAAGGGTCAGCAAAACAAACGTGAGCCTCAATTCCCACCAGGGCACATTTTGTAGGATTTTTGCAGGCCACCACCAGGCAGCATATTTTCCACAAGCGAGGGCAGAAGCGGAGCAAGGGGGGAGGAAGGCAACCGAGATACTCACCCTGTACCACCAGCCAGGTACTCGCGTACCACTGGTGGTATGCATACCACAGGTTGAAAAGCCCTGCTCTAGTATACCTGACCCACCTAGTAACAGTAAGCAGAGAGAGCCTGCTTGGAAGCAATCCTATCTAGTGCTTTGGTCACCTTCCAAAGGTAAACCCCAGAATCCATTCAGAAATACTGGATAGTTAACATCAACCTAATTGACTCTCCTACCTGTGGAGATTAAAGGTGGCAACTAAGCTCTGACAAACCAGAGAGTGATTTGATCACAGCTAAGTACTAACAAAAAAGGCCCAAAAGAGGAACTCCTTGACTTACAATAGGTTGCTTAATG